GTTCTAATAAAAACTAAGGGCAGGGTTTTTTTGGGTTTTTTTGGCCTGGAGTCTTTAGACCCCTCTAGTGTCCAGTTTAAATCATAAGGTTTCTAATCTATGTTGTGACTTATAGTAGACAAAATAATACTGGTTCCCATGAAAAGCTGTTTATTTTATATAGAGAGAGTCTCCAGGTTAAGAACGCCTGGGTTACAGACAACCCATAGTTAAGAATGGAGCCAATTGTAGCAAAATTTGAGTTAAATTCACAGTGATTTGAGTTAAATGCACAATGGTTCAAGTTCATTACACAATACTACTTATACAGTATTATACAATAATACTGTTCCGGATTCGACTTAAGGACAGACCTTGGGAATGGAACTCATTCTTAAGCTGGGGACTACCTGTAGTTAGTTCCAAATCTTATACTAAAAGTTCCAAATCTTATACTAAAAGTTTCAATAGTCCGATATTTGTCTGGACCCTTAATTTGTTTATAGCTTTCTTGGTTCAAATCTTAGCTTTTTGCCATTTATTTCAAATTCTTTAACTTTTTAAACTTATAGTAAATTTTTTGTTTCTTCAGAAATGAAGATAGACTCACCAGGTGGCTTTTCAAACTTGTTGTTCTGAAGATCTCTAATAGCCTTAAGATAGGTAAATGGGCAATTTCTGAAAGTGATTAGAAGCAAGGTTAGCAAACTTAGTGTCCTTTAAAAGACCCCGCTACAGTGGTGACCTTGATGATTGATCATTTCATCTCCCAGCACTCAAACCCATGGGGGACCACTGTCTTGGGGTCTCCTCATGAGGAGCAGCTGTTGAGAGCACATGGGGGTGATTTCACATCCCCTTCTTGTCTGGAGAGGTCCTGAAGAACTGGTCTACTCACTGGTTCATCAACCTTTGCCGCAGTCATCGTTTCCACTCTCCACAGAGACATGTTTAGCTTGTCCTGCGTCTGCAAAAATTTTCTTCAAAATTAAGGATACATAAATTGCTCATGTGTTTTTAAAAAGCAAACATTATTTCTTTCCTGTTAAATTCTATCCTATTCTTACCTCAGCTGTTGAATGTATTTTTTAAAGTCGGCACAAAAATTCATAGTTCTTTTCACATTTTGTACATCTGCATCTATATATTTTCTCTATGTATTTCCCTAATATTTACATATTTGCAAGGAATTAAGTCTCATAAATGCCCTTGTATTGCAATTTTCTATAGTACATTTCTGTACCCCAAAACTGGAAAATGATTAAAACTGAAAGAAAATTGTGTTCTAGTTCACGTATTTGTATTAGAAGTGCAGATTTGTTTTAGACTTTAAACTTCCCAATTTGTAGCTAACCCCCCATGCTTTTTAAAGAGTTCACATAAATATTTTGTTTTTAAATTATATTCATATTTACCTTTTGTGATGCTATTATTATACTTAGAAAGAGACTCTGGCTATTTACTTGTTGGGAAATATTATTTTTCATTCTCTCACCTGCTGATTCATCTATGCTACAAGAGGTGGGAAATGTCTCAGCTCCATTTTTTTATGTGCCAGATAGGGAATATCTGACTAGCAGTAGTACAAAAGAAAAATGTGGTCGGTACTGCATTAGCTGTAGTTGATTTAGCTGTGTAAGCCTCTTGCAAAAGTATGAGGATAATTGCATAAATATTTGACCCAGTACTTGACAAATAACATACTTAGTAATAGCGAGGCTTCAGGCAAAATACTGGCCCACATCCAAAGAACATTAGGCATCTGTGAAATCTTATACATAAATACTCAGGAATAAGTCCACTTATATTCAGTTGGGTGTATTCTGTTAATGGTTATAGAATTTCAGCCAGTCAGATTAATACAATTAGATTCAGCTAACTTAACCTCTGCCACTTGAATGGAATTTACACATGGTTAACTTCAGTGGACTGAACTAATACTGTGCCTAGTTTGATCTGCTGAATCTGGAAAGCACACCTGAGTGGGTGGGGGAAGAGCCTTATTGCATAATACTGAATATGTTCTCTGCCTTGATCTTGTGTAATGCTGATGTGATACCATGTTTTTTGTTTTGCTGGCACATTTATGGGGCAGGCCATACAATTGCTATAAATCTGAAGTGCAACAAATTCACTGTATTTATTGCATTTCATATCACATCTGAAAGAAAAATAATATCATAAAAGCAAGGAGACCAGGTAGAGTCTGCAAAAGAATATTTTATTCTAGAAGCATGCATATAGAATACAACACATACTCTTCTCTCTCTACACATATGTCTTCAGAAGTTACATGAAATATTGCTGTTTATCTAGCTGCAAAGTACGTCACCTGAAATGAAATTTAGTAAGGAATGAGGAAACAAATAGTGGATCTAGAATATTTTTTAATGTGATATCACTAGGGGTGAAATTCAGCTTATCTTTACAAGCTAGTTAGTGTGTGAGTTTTGAATAAGATCTATAGAAGGCTAAACATTTAGAAAAATAAAGAAATTCAGAGTCTCTCCTTGTTAAATAGTAGTGATATGAATATCAGTATACAATCTATAACGTCAGAATGTCTCTTGCTATAAATGTAGCTAGCTGTTGCCCCTTTGGTCTGCTTGTTAACAACTTACACTGTGAAATGAATGATTTAGGGCTTTGCAGAAAAATATATGCATAAACTAAGTGACTTATGGTAACATTTATTTTACAAAATTTATATTTATGATTAATTTGAATACTTAACCAATTTAAAGGGATAGTGAATAAAATGCCCTGATTACATTTATGGATCCAAACACCTTGTTTTGAAGGAAGGTAAAACTAGGACTTACCGTATTTTTCCGACTATAAGACAATACTTTTTTCTAAAATCCTTACCCTAAAAACTGAAGGGCGTCTTATTCAAGGAAGTCAGCCGAGAATCGAATACTTTTTTCTAAAATCCTTACCCTAAAAACTGAAGGGCGTCTTATTCAAGGAAGTCAGCCGAGAATCGAATACTTTTTTCTAAAATCCTTACCCTAAAAACTGAAGGGCGTCTTATTCAAGGAAGTCAGCCGAGAATCGAATACTTTTTTCTAAAATCCTTACCCTAAAAACTGAAGGGCGTCTTATTCAAGGAAGTCAGCCGAGAATCGAATACTTTTTTCTAAAATCCTTACCCTAAAAACTGAAGGGCGTCTTATTCAAGGAAGTCAGCCGAGAATCGAATACTTTTTTCTAAAATCCTTACCCTAAAAACTGAAGGGCGTCTTATTCAAGGAAGTCAGCCGAGAATCGGGGTTAGAAAAGTGGGGGTCGTCTTGTACATGGGGGTGTCTTATTGTCGGAAAAATACGGTAATTTGTTTTAAGATTCCGTTGGACTCAGTTTTGGTAACTATTTTCAGTGCTGGTTTTCAACCCTAGACTCAATGGATTAAAAACAAATTAAATAAATCCTGAAGAAGTGCTGAATGCATTTTGCTCACTGCTGAATCATATCAGAGAATTTTAACACTACATGTCAGAACATGGTATGACCCTGGTATCTCATTTTCTGTAAATCCATCTCTGGATGCAACCTCCATACTCTTATTATTTTTACTAACAATATAATTTGATGCATTTTATACTTATATTAGCCAGAATTAAAGTGCAGGCTTCTTTTCTTCACCTGTACCTTTATACACCTACATGGCTTTTCCATATATTTGTTGCCATATTGTGTTTCATTTTTTCAAATAATTTATGAATGAGTTTATAATAGATTTTTAATATGCTGTTTCTGATTCTCCATAAATAAGATAGTTGAGGCTTACAACTCTTTGAAAAAAATAGTAATACAATTACTTACTTGGGCTAAATACTGGGCTGTGTGAAATTTTAATTTGAAGATTTGATTCAAAGATGATTTGATCAAAGTACCCCAAATCAGTTCAAATCAGGTATCTTCAGATCAGTTCAAAAATTAGGTGGACTTCTGGATATGTATACATATAATTCTATTGAACTTGTTCACAAATTCTGTTCAAACCGAATCAATTCTGCGAATCAAAATGCAATTTTGAATCAGATCTTAACTGATTCATGTATCCCAATTAAATATAACTGCACTCAGAATCTTATATAAATATTCTATATTTATTGTGTAGTCATAATATTTATATTACTGATTTATTTGTTAAGTGGTATATGATCTTTAGATATCCATGTCAATATCTTCAATCTACTCTAGCAACAAGATATGTTTCCTAGTAATTTATGTATTCATTTTGTGTTTTCTATCATTTCTTCCTAGGATGGAATTGGGGTAGATGAAAAGCTGTCTTTAAGACAGGTAGCTGTTGTTGAAGATTTCTTTGACATAATCTACTCCATGCATGTGGAAACAGGACCTAACGGAGAGCAAATCAGAAAACATGCTGGACAAAAAAGAACCTATAAAGCAGTAAGTAAATAATCTTACATCAAGAAGAATGGCATATCGCTATGATTTATCTAAGATAATTAGGCAGATTTGTCAATTATCTGTCACTTTCAACCAAATCATGTATCCCTAACACCTACATGGATCTATGTTGACTTGCATTAAACTTAGATGTGCTTTAAGATATCTGGATTCCAAGGGAAGAAAAAAAAATGCAGATACTATATTATCCCAATAGTGTATAAATTATTTGAATTAGTGTAAAGGAATACATAACAGGACCTATGTTGATCAGATAGATCAGCACCAACTCACTAAGTACATTTAAATAATGTTTCATAACTTGCAGTTTTTCCTCTGAGTGATAGAGAAATTATGGTGTATGTATGTTCTATGTCCTACTTTACTTAGTTAACAAGCTGATTCTTTTATGTTTTAAAATTTTGTTTTTTGAAATGCTTGAAACAAATTATGTTATTCTTAAACCTAAGAATATAAATATGAATATTTAAGTAATATATAAATAGCAAAAGAAGGTGTTTCCCACTAATCGTAACAGGTGTACAATCTTCAGGAAACATGATAAGTTTCTATTTTTAAAAGTTTGAATCACTTTATTCCTTAACAAGATCTTAATTGTAATGTGGGCTGTCACTATTACTTTCATACTGACCCAATTTTGATACCCCAGCTTTCATTTCTCCAATCACAAAACATTCCTTCTTGAGTCCTCTTCTCTCTACCTATCTAATCTATCTTTTAGTGAAATAATGTACTTTTACATTATAACGGGACATTGTTAATAGTAGTATGTAAGTCTACTATTAGTTCCAAGTTGAAGAAAGCAATATTCAGTTTGAATTTGAATTTTGAGATATATGTAAAAGCAACAAAGTTCAATTCCAATGAATTTGAGATTAATTCAATAAAAAACCTGACCACTGACACTAATAGGGAATCATGAACATTCCTGCAGCCTCTTCATGGGGTAAGACAGCAGAGATGATAGACCATTTCAAAAACATCAATGCTGCAAAGTTTAAGACAAATAACTTCAAGATTTCCTATAATTTTATTTATTTATTTATTAAAGCAATTTATATGGCTGCCCAACTCACTCACGGTGACTCCGGGTGGCTTACAAAAATAAGATCCCAAATACAAAACCCACTACACCCCCATCCCCCGAGCGACAACAATACTTTCAAACAAACCACTTGATGGGCTCCGTATCAACCTGGGATCCCCAGGCCCACTGACAAAACCATGTCTTCAGGGCCTTTTAGAAGACTATCAAGGCGGGGGCCAGTCTTATCTCTGTGGGGATGATGTTCCACAGGGAGGGAGCCACCATTGAGAAGGTCCTTCTTGGTCCCACTAGATGGACCTCCCTCATGGGGGGGATCCATAACATACCCTGCCTCCCCAATCTGGTGGGTCAGGTAGATATAACAGGGAAAAGGTGGTCCTTCAAATAACCTGGCCCCAAGTCATGTAGGGCTTTAAAGGTGATAATCAGAACCTTGAACTGAATCTTGAAGCAAATTGGCAACCAATGCAGCTCCCGCAAGAGAGGTGACACGTATGCAACTCTAGACTTACACAAAACCATGCGGACCACTGCATTTTGAACCAGATGAAGCTTCTAGATACTTTTCAAGAGCAGCCCCATGTAGAGAGCATTACAGTAGTCAAGACAGGAAGTGACTAGGATGCAGGTGACTATGAGCAGGGACTGTTGGTCCAGGAAAGGGTTAACTAGTGCACAATTCGCAGCTGTGCAAAGGCCTTCCTCACCACAACTGCCACCTACTCCTCGAGCAGGAGTCAAGAGAACCCCCAGATTAGACACCGGGTCCGTCTGGGGCAGTGCAACCCCATCCAAGACCAAGGATGGCAATTCTCCATGGACCAAAGAGCCCCAATCCCAGAGCCATTCCATCTTGCCAGGGTTCAGTTTCAACCCATTACTCCCATCCAGACCTTAACAGCCTCCAGGCACTGTGAGAGGGAGGTCATGGCATGGCATAATAACATTTTAAAATAATTTTAAGGAAGATTAGTGTAATGGAAGGCATGTGTGAGGAGGTTACTGGCCTGGAGGATCAAGGTTATCGTGAGGAAGGGGGGGCATTCCTGAGCAAGCGCTTCCTCAGCCTGCAACAGGACCGTGGGAAGATGAAGAGGATGAGATTAGCCCCTCCCTAGGGTCTCACGGAGTATATCCACTAGTGGCTTTAGCACAGGTTTAGTCTGGCGAGATTCTGTCTATTAGGTGCAAGCTAACAAAGGAGCTATACTGGACTGGATTGCCTTGTTGTTGTTCTTGGGCTGAACCTGACAACTAGTGAATCAAAGCCAATCTCCTCCAACATCTTTTTCCCCAAAAACTATTTCAAAAATAACCTTTACTAAAAATCAAAAGCCTACCATCCTCCTATCACTTGCTTTCCTGGGCTGAAGGGCCTGTTGGTATAGCTGATTGGTAGGGTAAGCTTTTTCTGAGAATTATGTGCTGCCTATTCAATTAAAAAATTCTGAGAAATGTGTGTTTTATCACTATTGCATATATAATACAATATAATATAAAAATAACCTTTATTATACACAATCATATAACAGAAAGCTCACTGAGACCTTCCCATGTAATGAAAATTCACTTAGTACTTGTTCCTGACAGAGAAATAGCTAAAAGAAAAATAATTGTTGTTTATTTTTTTATTTTGGAGGAGATTTGAGGAATTAAGGAGTATCAAAGGGAATAAATAGAAGACAGAATGATCTGAACAACTGCAGACAGATTGGACTACAGAGACTAACAGAGACTATGTTACAGATTAGATGAATAGATTGAGAGTTAAGAATAAAAATAAAAGAGTGTGGATTTAATAAAAAGAAGAGGATCATACAAGAAAGAGCAAATCAGATTGTAAAGAGAACAGCAGAGTTTCTAATCCTTTCTTCCTCCAAATCAACTTGTCTAAACAAATTCTGTCAGAAGAGTGTGGCAGAATAGCCTCACACTTCTGATAGTGTTCTGACAAGCATGATTTTACAGATGTGATAAAACTCATTGGCTGACTACTCAGAACAAAATTAGAGAACCATTGTAGCACTCAGCCCTCACCCCCAGCTTTGTTCACATATGGAAGGAAAACTTCAATGGTGTTCAAGAATTTGCAAAATCAGAAAGTGCATCCATTCTGTGAATCACCTTTAAATTTCTCCAGACCTATTTGAAAGCACCTGATTTGATTTGATGCCTTAAGTGAAACAAAGTTTTAGTGTGAAGGGATGATTTGATCAAATGTCCTTCAGATGGAAGTTGTTCCTTTAAAACATCACAGAACTATAATTCTTGGTTAAGGTAATGGGCCCTTATACACCTGCTTTTTATTTAATTTAACAATTTAGAGAGAGAGGATGAGCAGCTGACTCTTTTAGGA